AAGAACTCATATTTCTTTAGTTACTTCTATTATTTGGTCTTTAATTTTGTGAATCCATTCGCAATGCCTATTTTTTGTCGCTTTGTACATATCTGCTTAAAGTAATTGTATCTAAATTTAGTCTCTGTTATTGTTCCTTAATTGTTTTTTATTTATAGCTTTAATTTTATGGTTAATACTTTATATTTGTTAAGTGAAATAATTTAATTGTTTAAATGATTTTGTAAAAATAATTCTGTAACATACTCGTAGCTTTAATTGTAATTAGCTTTTCTGTGTTAATACTTTATGTAAATAAATTTATATACATATATGAAACTGACATAAATAGTTTGACTTTCTATCAAATAGAGATTGTTAGTTGTATTATTTTGTACATATATACTTTTGTTTGTTATTATAATTGAAAAATGCCGTACTTTAACCAACAAACTATAAGTTGTATTAATCAATTAAAGTTTAATTGGTGCTTAATTGAATACTTATCCGTTTTGCATTATTACTTTTATATATAACGTAAGTAAAATGTGTTCTTTAATGGTTTATAAGGATTTGCTTCTTTTGGATTCTTAATAGAAAATGTTAATTTATTTGAAACAGATTTTAGTATACTTCATAAACTATCTTCAATCTTACTAAAGATTTTTTTTATTAATTTAATTTAACAAGAAATCATCATACACTTAAGATGGTCTAGAAGTTAGACCGATATATCTGTAATGTAAATATTTTTTATAAAAATGAATATATAATTATAAAATATTTAACACAAATTAATAAGTGTAATGTAAAAAAAAAATAATTTTTATAATTTTATATGCTAAATAAACAAAACTTAAAAAAAAAACTGAAAATGGTTTACTGAGACAGAACGAAATATTTGTTTTAAATAAATAAACTATTACTTTTGTTTGAAATTAAAAAAAAAAACTAATGTTTTGATTTATATTTTTATTATATTATTTAAAGTAATATAACACAAAATTGATTAAAAATCCAGCAACAAAAAGTGCTTTTAGTAAAATTTAAAAACAAATTTATTCTAAATATAAAAACAGTTTATGCAGCAAAATTTTATCAATTTATGATATGGTAAACTAGTTGTGTACGGAGTTCAAGGTAAAGTAGATTTGTATAGAAGTATTACCTTTTGATACTTCTTTTATTATTTTTATATTATTGACCTTCAATGTCACGAATTTTTTGAATTTTTTAAGTTTTCTTAATCTCTAGAGTGCTTAGCTCCGTGCTTAATATCAGATAGCGTTATTGTTTTGATCTGTGATGAATCTTTTATCTACTTCAGTTTGTTAAGTTCTCATGTTTACCAAGATTGTCAAATACTCTTATAAATCTCTATATCTTATTAATATCTTTATCGTTTCTTATCTTGAACCTTTAAATATCTATGTATTTCGTTAATACCATAAGGCATTTAGTGCTATCTTTGACTCTTTGCTTTGGCATATTTGTAAATTCCAAATATTTTGTTAAATAAATTTATAAATGTCTATATTTCATAAATGTCCCTACGCTTTCTAATTCTCAAACTTTATGAATATCTATATTGCATATGTACCATACCAGGTTTTGTAATTTCTATCCAATTTTTTTCTTTTTGGAAAAATTTGTACATTTAGTACAAAACTTTTTCCGGAAATTGCCAAATACCACACAGTCCTAAAGTGATGAGGGAGGAAAAGGGAAAAGAAGATATAAAAAGTTTACATTTTTTATTTTTGATGTAGAACTTGCCAGTAAAAAAAATTGATTTAAGTTATATTTTAAGATATTACCTTCTTTATTAAAACAACAAAGTGATGTCCCCTTTCAAAATATACCTCTCCCAACCTCAAACCATTGCATCTAAAGACAAACCTGCCTCATAAAAGCAATAAAGTGGTTTCCGGTGCATAATACGAGTATAGTTTTCTTAGCGTGTCCCTACAACAGTAACCGTCATACAACAGCAACTACCATACAACAGGTTATGCATCACAATGGGTCCTATTGAACCAATAGTTTTGCAAGACGAGCTGCCACTTGCGCCCTAAACTTGATTCAATATAGTAGATTCTCATTAATAAACGAAACTTGTACAAAAGTACAAATATTATAAATAAATAAAGGAATTCTAAATTTGCCAAACGTAAGGTAACAAAATTTTGTAAGTGGATTTTATTAAAAAATTATAAACACAGAGTAAATAATTTTTTATAAAGTTATAAAATAGTACTTCTTTTACAAAGTGTATTAATGTTAGGAGCAAACCTTTGTTGAATAATAAATACAATATTTGACATTCAAAATTTTCAAAAAAATAATTGATATGCAAAAAGTAAAAATGCAAGCACGTGTTGATAAAAAGCAAAAGTACTCCAAGTATCTTAATATTGAATATTATATATTCGTATCACTTACCAACTTACATTTATGTATATACAAACCTCTCAATGTTATAGCCAAATGTTGTACTCTATATGTGGTATGCAAAAAAAAATATGTATATAGTCCACCGAAATGGTATGACATATTTCACCTGTAATTAAAATGTAATCTGGGTATGGCAGTCGTCATAGTGGCTTGTAAGCAATGCACTATAAATGGGGCTTAAAAATTTCAGTTTCCAATGAAGAACCTACTGAAGATCTGGCTTATGAAGCAACAAAACAATTGGGACAAATGAATCATCGTTTAAATATCTTGGCATTAGAGGAGCAATCAAGACAAATCAATTTACCAAATGTTACAATAAATGATCTTGTTAGTAGAATACCTTGCACTTGTGATGAAGGCATCTGCAAATGTTGCGCAGGTAAGATTCAGATACTCTTACTGATTAATAAACAAGTATATATATAGGTATATATAAAATTTTTAAATATTTAAGGATTTCTGTCGGTTATTGGCATGAATAGCTGCACAGAAGTAGTTTATCGTCCTGAAGAATTTTCTTTCGAACTGCGCATGAAGGTCAATAATAATGTTTGGTTTAAACGTAAAGTTTCTGGACAGAATCCACCGCCATTCTGCTTCCGCCCTCCACGTTTCAATTTTGCACGTGCCTGTATACAATTCCATGATATTTGGTTTGTAGGTAGAAATATGCATGTTTGTATGTATATGTCTGGTTCATTTCAGGGTTATGAACTATTTGAAAGGTAATTAACATATCTAATCGTATGTTTATAACAATTTATTAATTTAATTAATCATTTCATTTCATTTCAGAAACTTCGATTGTTTATTATTCGGAGATAAAGGAGTCAAAATTGTTAAACCAGAGCAAGGTTATCCTGTACGTCCTCACGATGTGGACATTGATGATGGTGACGATGAAATTGAAGATTATGATGAAAATGTAGTGAGACGAAGAAGTTATAAAAATCGAAAATAATTTTAGTTTATTGACAATATATTAAAATTTTTGTTATACTTATTTAATTTATTCATTTAGCAGTATAAGATTTTTAAATATTTATGTTAAATATTTTTTTTATAACCATAATTAGATATAATTCATGAATAAATTGTCATATACGTTATCACACTTCCTTTTACTTCCTCTTTTTATCCGCAAAGAAGTACAAATGGAGCACTTTTTAAGCCAACAAATGGTACGTCACTTGTTGCCTAACACTGGAAACACATCCTTTTGTGTTCAAGTGTGATAATATTCAGTACAAACTGCAAAAACGACAACAAATAAGACGAAAAGGAGCAGACATAAAAAACCCTTAAGCTTTTGCAAAAAGGCTTAACCTTTCCATATATGAATGCACTGTGCGCACTCTAAGCATGAAAAATATGTTTGCCTAACGGTCGGGACGTTCTTTTTATTTAGCATCCTTAATAAATGCATAATTTACGCTGCAATTCACTTCATGATTTTCCTCTTATTTAAAATCTGTAAAAAAATTCATTTTTATGCCGTTGCACTCATGCTGTGCTCATCAAGCACTGAAGTACAAATTAAAAGGATGATGATGCATTGCGCAAGTATACGCTGCACTGAACCCAATGCAGTACCTAGACTGCATAACCCATGAACATGTAGGTTTTAATCCGTACGCAATTGCATCGCAAAGGAGTGTATATGTATGCAGGATATTCATGTCGTTGACTGTAATAAAGGACTATTAAGGATAAAAGCTTTTATGTGCTAAACCAAGCCACTTTTTGTACTTAGTAGATTGCACTTGTAAGGTAAAAAATTTCACACTTAAGGCTGAAATGCGAAGCATATTGCATAGCAATGAGTTCTAATAGGGGTTTACAAAGCATATGTAGTTCATTAAATGAAAATAAAAGGATCGGAACAGGATTCACAAATAAAGATAATTATTGGTTAAAGAAATGAATTGCATAATTAGCTAATAATTGAAAATTGGGGAATGAACCTGTTTTTATTAACAATTTAACTGAATTAAGGTGTTTCAAGTGATTTGCTATTATGTTAATAAATAAGTCCTTTAGTAAGTAAAAATAACTCAATTATATAACGTTAGCTTTTTTGTCGAATGTGACGCATCCAGTGACGACTGCTCTAAGGGGCGGAGGTGTGCGGTGAACACCAAAACATAATTTGCAAAATGTCAAATAACATAGGTATATAAATTTATTAAGTATCTTCACATCAAGAATTTTTATTATTTATTACATTTTCATATATATATTTATAAAGTTTTAGCAACAACAATTAAATATAATTGTCTATGAAAACTCAATCAATTTGCTTCTGTTAGCTGCTATATTTATTAGTTGTGCCATTGAGTAAAAATATTATTATTATTACAACATTATAGAAGGGCCGCACACCCTTCCAGATAGGGCACGTGTCGCCACTGGACGCATCTTATGACGAAAAGAAACTAGAATTGTTCGAACAGTAATAAAGAAACAACAATAAAAATTTTAATTAATGTATTCAAATTTCGCTGACTACACAACGCTATTTCGAGTATTCTTATTATCAGTGATCTTAAGAAAAATTCGAATTTTTTATTATAGTCCGTATATAATTTGTTGGACTACAAGTGACAGACTTAAATCTCGCCTAATCGTTCTCTTTCCACAAGTAGCCAAGTACAACTGAAATGTTTTTACCGTCTTACTTGATATTCCAGCTCCATACCTGAGAAATATATGTAACGTATTCAAAGACTTGTTTTAAAAACTCCTTGATTTTATAAACAATATAATTTTTAAAATAGTCTCGTGTAAACTCAAAACCAGCTTCAGGATATACAATCACACTTAGAATATAAAACATTTTATTTTTCTTAGATATTTATAGCGAATGAAGTAGAATAATGCCCACAAAAGAAAAAAAATCAAGCATATCAAAACTTTTTGAGTCGTTGTTGATGACTATTTCATCAACATCTAGAATATTGATTTCCATAGCAATATAGCATTTACAATAGTCTTATTGAACCCTAAAACTATCCATACCTTGTTTATTCAGACATTTTTTAATAGAAAATCGTTGATAACGGGTCCTTTCCGGTGTCATTGCGATTTTATTTACATTTAAAGAAGAACTACTAAGTCCTATCGCTATTTTTCTAGAAACTATTTTCCTATTGGAACTTCTTTAGTTCAAACACGTCAATCTTTTAATTCTCGAAGCTACTGATAATAAAGTTAGTATCATTGGGTTATGGTATAACACTCAACATGCAAGTAATTTATAAGCTGTGCTCAGATGTAAGAAAAAAATTGGTGTACTTATAATAAACTTATAATAAACTTAAAAAAATTATTACTAAATAGGTAGATGGATATAACGGATTTACAATAATTCATCCTGTTATATTTATGAAGACTTTATCGGACTTATAATATAAAGTGTCAACTGTCTCCTTTACTGGTTCTATAACAATATACGATTAATAAATTTAAATACATCCTGAAGTACACCCATTATGACTTTTTTATTCATATGGAAAGTCAAAAATCCTGTTTTTAATTTATTACTTAAACACAAATTTAATGTAATTACCATTGATAATGACCATCCATATAAAACTAGGAGACAAAGGATAAAAAAATCAAAATTACCTTTCAAAGAGAATAGAGTTGTTTATAAACACTAAACTGACCATTAAGCAAACAACAAAATGTATAACATAGTGCAGACAGAGAGGTGAAAATTCTTCACAAAAAAAAAAAGAAATTATGTACACCATATATTTTCCGCAGGGGTTGCTATCCGTTGACCAGTTGACCGCAAATTATTGTATCCGAACCCTTGTTACCGAAGCAACAGATAGAAATCACTTTTCGGTTAGTGATGCGATTTGCAATAATGCGTCTTGTTACATGGTCACTCGTGTCCGAGTATTATTAGCTCGTTACCCTTGGGGTCAATTCTTTTATATCCGGTTTATATGACAATTTACAACAACGGCGATGAACAGCAACAACTAAATCAATTTAGAATGGTCACTTCCGTGCGGAGTGCGGCATATTTTTTTCGCATCTGATTTTAGTGCTTAATAAAAGTAAATAAATATAATTGAAATTGAATAAGGGTCAAGCACCCTTCGGCGTGAATGGAGGGCATATTTTATGAACCAAAGGTGGACAGGCGTGAAAATAATCCAATTGACCAACAAATCCTTGTTATTGCCTTGTTGCTAAAAATGATTATGTTTATGATATTTATAACAATGTAAAGGTCAAAATAATGACAAAAAAAAATTACAAAAGATGAAAGCGATTCAGTTTTGGTAGAAATCAAGAAAAAATTTAATAAACGATGAGGGAAATTTTTTATTTACATTTTTATTGTACTTCACCTTTAAGTATTGTATTTGTAAGACTGTTTTCTTTTTTCAGAAAGTTGTTTCAGTTTTTAATTAAACACGTCTGCAAAAAGAAAAAAATTAATAGAAATTTATAAGTGAAACGAAATCTAAATACGAAACAACCCCCAAAAGTAATTAAAAACATCAAAAACATGTTATCTATTAAGAAATGCACAAAAAAGAAATGTCGCTAAGAAGTACAAAATGTTAATCAAAACAGAGACTGACAAAATTTTCTCCTTAGGGGTTCTTTCAAAGAAGTAAATGAATAAAAAATTTAAAACCAGACAACACTACAATTTTAAATATTTTACTGTAAAAATATTAATTCTTTTATTTTAACGAACATTCACTATAAGAACAATATCTATCCACAAAATATTTACAAACCATAATTTTGAAAATTCATTCCATCGTTATATGATCAATCCATTTCAATTTATTTAAATTACTACAATATCTTGACTGGATCTACTTTCTGAACTCCTTTGAGTGTTCAGATGACTAACTAGTAGAGATCCATCAAGTTACACTATAATCTTACAATATAAATGACTAGGATTTACCGTAAATATGCTATTTGATAAATCATAAGCTTTCAAAAAATAGATTTATAGATGTATTTAACCTCTAGATATAGATGTGTAACCTTTATCTTAAATTTATATGCAAATTTTACATATTGTTTTTATAGAAACATATCATTCAGTATGAGTTCTTACGACCCGTACACATGTATGGGTCAGTTTTCAAACTAGCATTTACTAAAATAATATGTGAATCACTCAGTTCAGTTTGTCATTTTTTATTTATGATAATTCTTAACCTTATTCTTCACAAATTTCAGACATTCTTACTAAGTCAACTAGGTATGCTAGGTATGTGTTATTTGCTCATATCTATAATGGAAAGTGTTTCTGAAAATTAATTTAAAGTCTCTTTCTCAGCATTAGAAAAGCATTGTTTTAAATCAAAAAAGTTAACAAGTTTCAAGATTGCCACCTAGTTTTTTATTCGAAAGAGTGAAATTATGAATTCATTTTTTTAATAAAATAGGTATACACTTATTTTGATTTTTAAAGTCAATTATGACAAAAGAAAATTGGGTTACGAGTTCAACCCTTGGTAGTTGCAGTTTTAAACAATTATTTACGAATAAATATAGGAAATTATTCCAAGACCACTGATGACGGGTTTTAGGCAATACTCGAAAGAACTACCTGGTCAGCCAAAATTTCAATTAATTAATAAAAAAGAAAGTTAATTGTTGTAATGCACTATATCTGTATTAAGTGTAATTTATTTTGGACTCATATATACAAACTTAGATTGTAGGTAATTTTTTTCTTAGCATTAAAAAATTATTATGATTAGATATCGTGAAATCTATTCAGAACATTTCGTATGGAAAGCACCCACCACATATAAGTAAAAGCACAAATATAAAATCACACGCATAATCTGCATAAATTTACTCACATACATACGCGCATATATATACATACATTAATTTTATCAAACATAGTAAACAATTACGCATATACACATTTCCCCTTCAACAAGGTAAGTACATAAAAAACACGCA